CTTTAGTTTCAACATTTTGGATTATATTGAAAGAATATATGGAAATCCTGCAACAAACATGGCCAGAAGCCTTATTTTATAGGTGGTCAATCCAGACACAACTGCAACAAGCACTTATATATATAGGAAAGGTTGCAAACAGCTACAGTGGTCAAAATTACTGCATTGCTGGGTAACATTGACCACCATGTCAGTCAGTTATGTGCCATGCATGATACATGCTTAGGTGATCAAGTATCTTTTGATACATGACTGACAAGACAGATTTTTTTACCACAGTAGGTTGCCATTTCTTTCTGCAGTTGACCAGTTGCCATCCAAGGTTGTAGAACCCAGTCTGTCTTGCTATTTACCCATAGCTGGTGGGGAGAAGAGGATTCATAACTTTCCCAAGTGTATTAGCATGTAAGTGAATGTAATGGTTTGGACTGGAATTTGAACTTGGTTCTCTGATTCCTCAATCCGAGCTGCTATCCATTACACCACCATGCCTCCTGCCATGTACAGAGCCTTTTTTTTTTTTTTCTTTTCTGACATGAAACAACCAATTTCCACCATATCTACACATATGTAGCAGTTTAGTCCATGCACAGCTTTTGCCATCACATCAAATATACATCCACTAAAAAGAATTTTGAACTGTTACCCAAAAAGTGGAACAAAGTTACCCCAATTTATGGTATCTGTTGTCTTTGGCTATAGTGTTGTTCATAGCAAAATTTCAACTACTTCACAAGCATTGACTGTTCTTGTTTGTGATTCCATTTTAATAGTCTTTCTTTTAATCTGTTAAGTATTGCAAACAATCCAACCCTTTTGTGCCACTGTTGTTGTAACTTATTGTGCAACCTCATCTGAAGAAAATTCTTCCTGAGTTGTTTATTGTCTTAATTAATTTCTCTTTGTCTTTAGTAATAATCAACATGCCATTCACTTCTTTAATACTTTTATAGAAAATGTCCAAAAGAAACCAAAAGATAATTCCTCAAAAGAGGAACTTTCTATTGTGTGACAATGCAAGAGGAACACGTTGCATATGTTTCCATTGTCTGACTTTGTAAAAAATAATCTGCCTTTTAAATGCTCTATAAAGAGAGCACAACACGCACGAGCATTGTCTTGTTGAAAAGGTTTTGTGCGCAATACAATTTGTCTATATGCCTGCTCTGTATCCCCCTCCTCTCACCTCTCTCTCACCAAATGAAAACGATTAGATACCTCATAACATTCACACTCGTGTCACAAAAGCACTTTACATAACCCATTGTTTGTTATAACTGAAAAGAGATATTACAGCAATTTATTGTAAGATTACTAGGTCAGCTGCTAAGAAAGTTGGTTCACTGTGACGTACGAGACAATTTTTCAATTCAGAATCGATCTTAAATATCGATAACTCTACCATTCATCTGTGCTTATGGTCTGCTACCCTTGCTATTTAGCTTGAGCACCTTGATAAAATCCAAAGAAGAATCGGCAATATTATTGGTCCTGATCTGGCATCTCGGCTTCAGTCACTTTTCCATGCTGTAAGGTTGCCTCTCTGTGCTTTTTTTATAAACACTTTCATGGTAATTTTTCCAATGAGCTCTTTGCTATGATACCTAGTCTTTTAGAATTTAAGTGCTGTATTAGACTGACGTCAAGATCTCATCAATTTACAGTAGAGTTGGTTAGATGTAGCCGTTAAATTCTATGATAAGTTTCTTTTCTCACACTTCTCATTTGTTCCGGCTCTCCATGCTTTCCAGCCAACTTTAATCTCCAAAAATTTAAATGTAGTGTCAATCGCTATCAATATACTCATGATTGCTCTCTTCTCTTCCCACTCATTATTAATGATTCTGTTCCTAATTCTTCCACATGCTGTAACCCCTTGTGTCTTAGTGGCTTTACTGCCTTGCATGAGGTGATAATGATTTAAAAAAAAAAAGAAAAAAAAGTACTGAGATAGTCAATTGTACTCTCACTTTATCTATCGTTACATAGGAAATATTGACGTTAACATGTCCACTAATAAAAAAAAAAATATGGGAAAATTTTGGTGGAACAATTTTTATTGCTCACCATTCTTTGAAATTTTTGTTACCCTTGACATTTGTCAGACACAAAAAAAAAATAATTTTAGAAAAGTCTCCTGTTCATAATGTAACTAACTTTTTAAAGAGTTATCTGTCCTTTGATAGCGACTACAAATTGGGAAAAAAATGAACAGTATCTGTAGTACACAGTTATCAATGACATAAACATTGTTTCAAACTTAACATTTGTAAATAAAAACAAAATACAGATAGCTCTTTAAGAAAATGGATTGATTTGACACTGTATTTTTATTATAAACAGGACCTCACTCCTAATATGACAAAAAAATCAATATTCTTTTTTTTTTTTTTATTTTGACAAATCACTTGGGTAAAAGAAAGTCTAATGAATGGAAAGCATGGAGAGCCGGAACAAATGAGAAGTGTGAGAAAAGATTCTTATCATAGAATTTAACAACTACTTCTAGTCAACTTTACTGTAAGTTGATGAGATCTGGATGCCAGTCTAGTACTGTACTTAAATTCAAAAAGTCTAGGAAGAAGTTCATCTGAACAATTACCATGAAAGTATTTACAAAAAAGACACAGGCAACCTTACAGCAGTGGGAAAGTGACTGAAACTGAGCTGCCAGATCAAAACCAATAATATTGCTGATTCTTTTTTTTTGATTTTATCAAGGAGCTCAAGATAAATAGCAGGGACACCAGACACTATATAGCAGCAATGTTCTAAGTATGGATGGATGGATGGTAGACTTATAGATATGTAAGATAAATTCTGGAGAGAAAAATCGTCTCACATGATGCAGTGAACTGACTTTCTTATCAGCTCACACACACACACACACACACACACACATAAAGGCATGTGGCTGAGTGGTTAGAACGTTCGCTTTCTGACCATGAGACCTGGATTTGAATCTCATGATAGTTGATTTGTTGAAACCAGTCTAGTACTATTCTAAAAGTCTAGGTACCATAGTGAAGAGCTCATCTGAACAATTACCATGAAAGTATTTATAGAAAAGGCACACAGAAGCAACCTTGTGGCAGTGGGAAAGTAACTGAAGCCATGCCACCGGATCTGGACCAATAATATTGCTGATTCTTTAGATTTTATCAAGGAGCTCAAGGTAAATAGCAGGTGTACCGGAACATATGTGGCAGCAATATTCTAAGCATAGATGAATGGTAGACTTAAAGATATGTAAGATGTAGAATGTTGATTAGCTTGCAAGTTGTCTGACACACAAGTAGACTGGTGTAGTCACTTCAAGCTCTGTGCGAGAAAATGGGGGGGAAAAAAAAACAACAAAAAAAAACAACTTCTTCGCGACACAAAAAAAGACGTAACGACACAAAAGAGCGAACGCCGCCTAACCAAAAAAGACGAACGTCATGCGAACCAAAAAGACGAAACGCCTTTCGAACCAAAAAAACGAACATATATGCGAACAAAAAAGACGAACGCGCCTTATGCGAACCAAAAACGAACGCCGCCTTTAACGCCGCCTGCGAACCAAAAAAACGAACGCCGCCTTATGAACCAAAAACGAACGCCGCCTTGCGAACCAAAAAAGAAAAAACCGACGCGAACAAAAAAACGAACGCCGCCAAAACCAAAAACGCCGCCTTGCGAACCAAAAAAAAACGAACGCCGCCTTGCGAACCAAAAAACGAACGCCTTGCGAACCAAAAAACCGAAACGCCGCCTTTGCGAACCAAAAAACGAAACGCCGCCTTGCGAACCAAAAAACGAACGCCCGCCAAAAACCCGCCTTGCGAACCAAAAAAGCGAACGCCGCCTTGCGAACCAAAAAACGAACGCCCGCCTTGCGAACCAAAAAACGAACGCCGCCTGCGAACCAAAAAAACGAACGCCGCCTTGCGAACCAAAAACGAAAACGCGCCTTGCGAACCAAAAAAACCGAACGCCGCCTTGCGAACCAAAAACGAACGCCGCCTGCGAACCAAAAAACGAACGCCGCCTTACGAACCAAAAAACCGAACGCCGCCTTGCGAACCAAAAAAGAAGAACGCCGTTTGCGAACCAAAAAACGAACGCCGCCTGCGAACCAAAAAACGCGAACAACCAAAAAAACGCCGAACCAACAAAAAAACGCCGCCGCCTGCGAACCAAAAAACGAACGCCGCCTGCGAACCAAAAACGAACGCGCCTTGCGAACCAAAAAGACGAACGCGCCTTGCGAACCAAAAAAGCGAACGCCGCCTTGCGAACCAAAAAGACGAACGCCAAAAAAAACGAATGCGAACCAAAAAACGAACGCCATATTGCAACAAAAAAAAAACGAACGCCGCCTTGCGAACCAAAAAGACGAACGCCGCCTTGCGAACCAAAAAGACGAACGCCGCCTTGCGAACCAAAAAGACGAACGCCGCCTTGCGAACCAAAAAGACGAACGCCGCCTTGCGAACCAAAAAGACGAACGCCAGCAAACGAGCAAAACAGCACCCACAACTGCTGCCGACGAACGACTGACCGCAACGGCTGCTGTCGCCCAAGAAAAGACGCCAAATGACTCGCACATCTTTTTCTTATAGTCCTCGGTCGAGTCCATTATGGTACTTCAAGGTGTGTCCGGCGACAACACACACACACACACAGTTCGAGGACGTTTCCGCGCATGCTCGTTACACTCCTCCCTGATCTCCAGATCACACAAATGGCAATGTGGGGCAGGCCGTTTCTGCCTGGTGCTCCGTCTCAGTGGTATGGTCTCAAGCGCTTCCTCAGTGGTGATCTCTTCAGGCGTCTCGCTGAGCTCATCCCACATAGGTTCATCAAGCACGCTACTCTCTGAGGTGGGCTCTTCCTGTGATTTTATATAAACCATCGGGGCTTCATCATCATCAGAACTAACGTGGTTGCTGACGGAATAATCCTTCCCGCATGCTGGTCGCACATCTTTTATGTGGCGCGGTATTCCATCAATAGAGATGGAGTGTGGGCTATTAATTTGTGTCACCGTACCCTTGCTGAACTGTGTCGTACACCTTCCATGCGGATTTTTCATCCAGACACTCTCCTACCGTATAAGGATTGGCAACCATGTTGTCACGCACCAAAGCTGCGTCGATACCCTTAATGCGGACCCTGTAAGTGTAGGTTGCTTTCGCCGGTGCAGTTGAAGCTGTTTTATTGTCCTTTGGGGTAACATTGTGCCAATATACAGCTTCCAAAACTGAACACCGTGTTCTCGCTGCGATGCACTTTATTGTACGATGGGATCTCTCAACTATCCCATTCCCAGATGGTACGTGGACACAGCGAAATCATATTTGTACATTCCACATCTTTGCAAAAGCGGCAAACCTCTCTCCACAAAACGCTGCGCCATTATCTGTAAGCAGCTCAACCGGCGACCCTCTTTCACAAAACACTACTTCCAGCTCCTTGATGATGCTAGCAGAGTCTTGGCGGTGCAAGGGCTTCCAAATGACAAAACAACTGGGGCCGCAGTCTATCAGCGTCAGGTATAGTTGATGTCCGAAATGGGTTACATCCATCGCAACCCTGTGCCAAATTTCCGCGACATCAAGCCTGCCCGTTTTTCAACGCACAGGAGCCGGGTCGATTGACCGGCATTCCTTGCATCCCCTAACCACCGCTCGCACCTCAGATTTTGTTACTCTTGGATTGATCAACTTCACAAAATAGTGTTCTCTTCACACCAGGATGTCCGCTGGATTGATGAATGGCTCGTACTTGAGCAACATCTCGCTCTTCAGCCACAGCGCACATAGGTTCTCTGGGTTCCGTCATTTTGCGCATTTCATTTAACCATCGCTGCGGTCGGCTCGATTGTTGCATGACTTGACAAGCTCTACATCAATGTCCAGCTTGTATTCTAAGGCCAACTCTTGTCTTCGTGCACCGGTCGGAGCCAGCTTGCGTCTTCTGCCATGGTGCCATTGCTCTCTACAACCACACTGGTGGCTAAGGAGCTTGCATCTACCCACACGGTTACATGCTCACTGATGCACCAGTCACCTTTCACTGGATCGTCCTGGGCTAGTCTCTTAAAAATGTCGTCGATCATCTGGGCTAGAAAAGGGTCCTGCACTTCATCGTCCCATCCAGTGGTAACGGTGTTTGCCCTCCGCTTCACAAATGCTGTGGCGACACGTAACCAACTGCATACAGGAAAATGGCCAGTCAACTTTCCGCACAGCGAGAAGACAATTCGGCGGGTAAGTTTATCGGGGACTACCGGAAGTTCACATCCACAACATCATCGCAGTTTTCCTTGCTCCGCCCAGACATGCAATCCCAGTACGCGTGTGCCAATTCTTAGCCGCTCCAGGGTCTTACTTGACAGACCAAAATGCTCCAAATGTTCCTTGACGTGGATCACAGAACACACACTCTCATTAACAAAAACGTTGTCAATATAAGAGGAGGAAGCTGCGTTGACGATCTCGTCCTGGCTCAAAACGGTATTAACAATGGCCCGCATGATTAAAGGGGCAACATTGAGCCCAAATCCTAAGCGGGTTAGACAATACATTTGTCCCTTAATCTCCACTGTTTGGAATAGCCAAAGGGACTTGTCGATGTGTACCTGCAAATAGGCCTGGCATAGGTCCAGCACTGCAGCATTTGGTCCTTGTTGACGCCATTCCCGTAATTTTTGCGAACACACATCTGCGTTGGCCGCGTATGCATCAACGTATTCATTGAGTTCCCGATAGTCCATAACGGGCCGAACCTTCTGTTTGTTTTCCTGCAGAATAGCCATGAGGGGGATTAAACCCTTTGGGGGTCCGAGTTCCTACTCCGAGTAAGGAAGCAGCCAGCCATTATCTATCCAAATCTAGAGTTCCCGATCATACTCCTCCCGAATTTGTGCAGGAGCTGGATATTCTGCCAGTCTATTTCTTAATGTACCCAGAGGTTGGTTGCCAGCCCATTTCCAAGATGCGGTCCACCTCCAACTCCGAGTGGTCTCATCAAATTCTACTTTAAAGTCGGGCTCGGTAATGGTGATGGCAGCAACGACTGGTGCGACACACTGTGGAAACTTCACCTCACCGGTGCCAGTTACAGATATTCCTCCCAACTGTTTGATGGCGTCTAGTCCGAGCAGGAAGTCAAATCCAAGCAGGTCTCCATCCACGACCAGGGCTTCCATAGCGATGGGCAGTTTTGCACCAACACTGACTTGTACCACTCCAATTCCACAGCAGTCAAGTGCGCCTCCATCTACTGTAAGCACGCGTGTTGATTTTCTTGTCCATGCACGACAGCATGACTTGCGGACTAGTGACTGTGTGCATCCTGTATCCACCAGAGCTGTATGTGGTATTCCATTGATGCGAACTGTCACTACAGGCAATGCGCCATTTACAACGGTTTTGGGGAGGAGATTGGCGCTGAATTCTCAACCCCTTGCCCGTTTCCCGGACAACACCGAGCAATGTGCCCTTGCCGATGACATTGATAGCAAGTGATGGTCCATCAGTGCTTGGTATCGGCACATTTGGATGGTTCACGAACCAGGAGACAATCGCTTGCCCTATGATTGACTCCATCGCATTTATAGCACCTCGTGTGCACATCTGTTTCCTTCAACTGTGCAGCCACTGCGGCCTGCTCCGTAGGACCAGTGCACTTCTTCAAAATAGCTCGAGCTCGTGCCAACACGTGACAAATCCTGTCTTCCATCTGGGATGACGCTCTTAAAAGCTCCTCTGCATGCTCAGGCAAACCAGCAACGAATACACACTGCAAACGCTTTTCCGATACGCCACCAAACAGAACCATGAGTCTACGCAGTTCTGCCAAAAAGACGTTGACCGTCTCCCCTGGATGAAGGCGATGTGCTGCAAACTGCTTCCATGTGAAGAAGGGATCTAAGGCGAAAGCTGTGTATAACGCTTTCTTAATGCAATTGAAGTCTGCGCGCTTCTCCTCACTCAATTGCTGGTACACAGCATATGCACCGCCTGCCAAATGCATCGGAATAACACACTTGATTCGCTTCACACCGCTCAACTCCAACCATTCCACTACCGACTGTCCAGAATCGCTTCCGTCGAACAGTGGTATCAGCTTTGGGTCGAAGGCCATAATGCCGAAATAGCTTGTGCGAGAAAACTGGGGGAAAAAAAAAAAAAAAAAAACAACTTCTTGCGACACGAAAGACGAACGGCTTCTTGCGACACGAAAGACGAACGGCTTCTTGCGACACGAAAGACGAACGGCTTCTTGCGACACGAAAGACGAACAGCTTCTTGCGACACGAAAGACGAACGGCTTCTTGCGACACGAAAGACGAATGCCAGCAAACGAGCAAAACGGCACCCACAACTGCTGCCGACGGACGACTGACCGCAACGGCTGCTGTCGCCCAAGAAAAGACGCCAAACGACTCGCGCATCTTCTTCTTATAGTCCTCGGTCGAGTCCATTATGGTACTCCAAGGTGTGTCCGGCGACAACACACACATGCAGTTCAAGGACGTCTCCACGCATGCTCGTTACAAGCTCCATCCCCACGTGGGTTGTAGCTGGTTTAGCGTGGGTTCTCCGAGCCTGTAGGCTCAGCCAAAAATATTCCCTGTATAAACTGGTTCAGGGCCTGTCTACCTCCCCGGACAAAACTTTGCTCTTTGGCAAAGCTTCGTTCGGGTTCCTCTCCACTGAGGCGGAGTTTTGACAGTAATGAACAGTACGGTATATATCACCATTCCCACTTCAAACTCCATTTTTCCTGAGTGATTTATGGAGAGATATATAGGTGAATAGAATTCACTCATGCAAATGTGGTGGGAAGGTCCATTTTAGCAAAATGGACCAACCCACCTGCTGTATTAGCTACTCTCATATAAATAAGGTATATTGGCTGGCTTGCCTTTACACAAGGCAGCCAGCCATGTTAGCAGGTAAGTCATTTGACTAGTATATAAGATAGTTTCTGGAGAGAAAAATTGTCTCATACTTCACAGTGAACCATCTTTCTTAGCAGCTGACCTAGTAATTTTACAATAAATTGATGTAATATCTTTTTTTCAGTTTTAACAAATGCATGCTAATCTATAAAAAAACTATTTTCAAAGAAATTTTTCTTACTTTTAACAAGTGGACCAGTCTATTTAACCAGTGCCAAAATTTATATATTCTAGAAATTTAAATTCATGCAGTTGAGGGATAACATCATCAGAACAACTCCCATGAAAAGATTTGTAAAGACAGAGGGAAGCTATGTCATGTCAGTGAGAAATTGACTGAAGTTGAACTGCCCAATCAGGATCAATAACATTACAGACACTTTTTTAAATTTTGTCCAGAATCCCACAATATATAGTAGGAACACCAGACCATATATGGCAGCAATATTCCATGCACGAGTGAATGGTAGATTTATAAATGTGCAAGATGGAATGCCTTAATAGATTTGGAGGTGGGAGGCATGGGACCCTTGCACCAACTGTTTTGAGGCATTCTACATGGCAACTGCACAAGGCTGCTCAGAATGTGAATTGTCACACACATCCCTGTCAAAATTGTTGAAATGCATTAACCAATGTCTAACCCATTCAGTAAATATTGTATATGAACAAGTGTCAACGAATGTCATTGGGTGCAACTTTTCTGCTTGGAAGAATTTAATGACATATTTTTGCTTTGTAGACAATTTAATGTCAGATGCCATTTTGCGAGACTACTATATCATATCATATAGATTTACAGGGTCACAAGACCCTTGCAACAGCTTTGATTATAGGTTAGTGGTGAAAAGGTTTAAACTTTACCACTATGCACCTACCATCAGCCTATGGTATTGTGGGTCATCATAATACAACAGCAAATATTATTTTTTTAAATGACACTTGTATATAAATCAGATTTAATCAATTAGACAATGGCTGAAGCTACAACTTCAAGTAAATGTAAAACCTTGTTCTCAAATCCATTCCTGAAGCAATTAAGACACAAAAAAGCATATTTTCTATTTCTTTTTAATAATTTTTTTTTTTTTTTTTACAAAACAAAACAATAACAGCCTTTTCTTTTCTTTCTTTTTTTTTTTTTTTTTTTTTTTTTTTTTTTTTTAAATGGCCGCATTGTTCTGAAAAACGGAGGGATTTGAAATGACTTTGACTGAGAGTGCTAAAATGCCAGGAGTTCTTTCAAAATGAACACAGCATTAGAAGAAAACAAAAAAATTGTGCATTCTTGCGTACATCAGAAAACCTTTTGTTGACAGCTATTTGCTAAGCAGTAGATGTTTAGAAGTGAGATCAAATATATAAAACTATTGGCAAGGATTTGCATTTGCTGCCATCTTGAGGTCAGGAGAAAGATTAAAATGGAACACACAGATTTACAAGCAATGCAGAGGCTGGTTTATAGTTTGTCCTCTATAGTTACTTTCCTCAGTTAACCTTATCTATCTTTATATCGCTGTTTCTTTTTTATTTGCATGCACACACACACACACATATATATATATATATATATATATATATATATATATATATTAAAAAAGAAGGGGTGCCGCAAACGTTTTTGGTTGTAATGTGGATTTATTGAGAAAAAATATTATACTTCTAGAAAGAAAATTCGGATTATCAACACACAAACAGAATGTCTCATATCGAGAATATTCCACATTGAACATGAAGAAAAAATTAATTATTTTTAATAATATGTAAAAATCTCCACTTTCACCTGAAGACGGTTTATAGACCAGACCAGAAACACGTGTCGTGAAATTATGTAAAACAAAGTATAATATTTTTTCTCAATAAATCCACATTACAACCAAAAAACGTTTATGGCACCCCCTCTTCTTTTTAATATACATACTTTTCTCTCGTTGGAACCACTACAACATATTTCTTTTATATATATATATATATATATATATAACATTTTTAGTGGATACTCCTATCTGAGTAGAAGTTCCATTTATTTTTTAAACAGTACATTTATTTATTTTCACCTACTGGCCTGAATATTCGAGAAGCCTTATTAGACAAAATTATATTTGGATTTGAACCTGTGTTCCCCTGGGATAAACCGTCATCAAGTCTGACATGTTTTGACCTCTCAGCTGCAGAAGACCAATCAAAGCCACCCTTTTCTTTACTGCTTTGTTTATCATAGGATACGAAATATGTCAAGAGTCGGACCAAAATCTATGCTTAAATGTACCATTCAACTTTGCTGTTCAGCCAGACTACCCACACATATGATTTGATTGTCATGGTGAAACCTTGTGCAGCATTGACCAATATTTTAGAAGGGAAGACAGTGAACTGGTTCATAGCATGCCACAAGATCCCTAAAAGACAACACTCACTCAGGTTTTGAATTCAAAGTTTCCTTCTTGTAGACAAGTTGCTACCCAACGTTATAGGATCCAGTCTGTCCTGCTATTTACCCATCGATGATGGATTTTATATATATATATATATATATATATATAGTAAGGCAAATTTGGAAAAAGTTTTTGTGACACATTTCATCTGTTAGGATTTCATCAGACTGGGCTTTGTTTATGTTGCTGTGTCTACTCATGCACACAAAACGAAAGATGCTGGTAGTTTCAAAATTTTTTTTTTGACATAGGGAATGCTACTTAGATTAAAAGAGAAAATAATCCACTAAGGTGAAAATGTCTGGAAAGTGCCTTGATTGACAGTTCAGCCACAGTAAATTTGTGTCCAGGTTCTTACAACATATCACCATTCTTGGTAGATTTTCTGTTCTCGCAATGTGGAATAGTCAGGGACAAAGGTCATGGAGAGAAAAGAATTCAAGGATTTTTCCAGATTGAAAAAAATATTCCTTCAAAAATTTTGAAACTACCAGCGTCTCATTCTGTGCTCATGTGTAGTTGTGGCAACATCAACAAAGTCCAGTTCGATGAAATCCTAATGGATGAAACCTATCACTAAAACATTTTTCCAATTCATTATACTATTTTTCTAAATATTGTTTATTGAAATATAAAATTCTACAAAATTATATATTGTTATATGATTATTATATATATATATATATATATATATATATATATATATATATATATATATATATATATATGTATGAAAAAAATCTTGTGAGAAAATTATGCATCCTCCAGCAGGATTCAAACCTGCGTCCACCGGAGGAAATGTCATTAGATCTGATGTACATTAGGCCAACTCAGTTTAAACAAATAAATAAAAAAATCTGTGGGATTTAAACCATTTCCTAAAAAATTGTCTTTGTTTACGTTAGGACACAGAACAGAGCAGATATGTATATTTTGAGAATCTGGGAGATGTGTGTGCAAAAGAACTATCCTGGATCAGGAAATGCTTCATCATTATTTTATATATATATATATATATATATATATATATATATATATATAACTTTTGAAATTTATTTATTTATATATATATATATATATATATATATATATATATATATATATATATATATATATATATTTGAAATTTATTTATTTATTTATATATATATATATATATATATATATATTTATTTATATATATATATATATATATATATATATATATATATATATATATATATATAACTTTTGAAATTTATTTATTTATATATATATATATATATATATATATATATATTTTGAAATTTATTTATATATATATTATAGTGGATACACCATATTTGAAATAATGTTTGAAGTATTAACAATGTCGTATTAAAAATAAATCCATTAATCCTTTCCATATATAGGAAAGTAATAGAATAAGTAACTTTAAGAAGATAAATTTTAGAAGATAATTAAATAAAATGTTTTAAAGCATAGATTATGAAAGTAACTGCAAAAACCATAAGTAGATTTAATTAATCTTTGAAGAACAGCTGAAGGCTTTTGATAATATCTTGCAATATATTCATATTCGTGATTTTACAATATTTTGACAATGATGTGAAAATCAATTAAAGTTTATCAAAACTAGTTTCACTCACAGACCCTTACTCCGAAGCTTATTACATGTACACATCTCAAGACAATCTATGACAGCACCATATTATTAATATTGCTATTATATATAAGGGTGTATCAAAAGTATTTTTATTTTTTATAGACTATTTATGACTCTACTATATCTTACTTATTATAAAACACAGATTGTGTGTGACTGTACGTTTATATATTGGATCGGATTTCCTACATTTTTTCAACCGATTTCAACAAAACTTCACAGGACTGCATAAAATTACCTTGCGGTGGTTCTGACAGTGCCAAAAATTGGAAAAATACAATTGTTTTTGAACGAAATCAATTTGAAAACACGATTCTGTTGCCAGAATGAAAGGGTGACAACTCATATCGAGTTATACTTATTATAAAAACCCAGGTTGTGTGTGTGTGTGTGTGTGTGTTCCTTTATATATGGGATCGGATTTCCTACATTTTTTTAACCGATTTCAACAAAACTTCACTTTTTTTTTTTTTTTTTTTTTTTTTTGCAGGTAGTGTTTCTTATTGTCTTGCACACTTTTTTCTTTATTTTTACATTCAGAATGCTTTAAAAATTCCATTTACAAGACAATTGTTTATAATAAAATTCTATTCAAATTCAATCAGTAGACTCATAACGATTGAAAACAATGTTTTTGTTTGGGTTTGACCAATTCGTAAAAACAAAACAAAACAAAAAAACTAATTAAGACATGCGTGTCCATCAACCTTAAACAATAATCTTTGTCAATTTTATTTTTCAGTCTTTATGATGGTCAATACTTGATCTATCTCTTGCTGTTACATCCCCGTCAATGCCAGGCTCTACTGCTAGTCATAGTTATTTTTCTTGCTATCATCTTACAATAATTGCTGTCAAAATATACAATATACATAGAAACATATTGTATTCTGTAAGTTTTTTGTGTTGAATTTTCAGGCCATGTGTGTTGCATTTTGGCTTGACTATATATGCTGGCCAGTAGTGCATTATGGGTAGGTGTATTGTATTTTACATCTGTTATCTCCACTTACTTAATTTTATGAAATTTAGAGAAATTAAAATTTCAGTCTCTTATTTATATTAGTTAAAAGCAGGACTCCGTGGAGAATTTAAATCATCAGTTTGTTTTTGTAAATCTGAATGATCATTTACCAAAAATCTGCTCTGAATCATAAAATAAAAAAAAAAAATGCAATGAAACTGACATATGAGAGGGCTATTTTGTAGGCATTAACTTTTAATTGTTTTTATAAATAAGATATATTAAGGACACTATTATCTTAAGAAAAAATTTTTTTTCAACGAATAATGAACTTTTCTAAGAAGTTTTTTTTTTTTTTTTTAAATTTTAATTAGAGAAATTTGTTAAATTTCAAATGTTTTAAAATTCTGTATTAATTTCAGCCTTTTAGATGATATTATTAAATGAAAATTATATTTACTAATCATAAACAGAAAAACTTAATAAAAATTATTTAAACACTAATATTTTTAAAAGAATTTTGAATTTTTTTTGTGTATAAACGTACCAATTTTTGTATGTCTGACCACACAATATGATCAGAAAATAAGAGTGATAGCTATAGTAAGTTTAAAGTCAACATTTCTTAAGATTCAATAAAAGATTAGATTATGGAAAATATTTTCCTAAATTTTTAAGATTACTGAGTACTTTTAAATTATATAAAAAATGTGCTCACATCATTTTCTTCACTTCCGTTTTACAGATAGTGTCCATAGAACAAAATTAGACCTGTCCTGTCATCAGGCTGTCAAAACAATTAATATCAGGTTAAAAAATGCATTTCTGCAATATTTTAGAGTTAAAGTAAATAGTATTCATTTGAAATCAGATTAATTATAATTTAAATCTGCTAATATTCCTTCTGTAAAGTTTCAGAAAAGTATATTTTATTTTTGGAAGATTTTTTTATAAAGAGAATGACATTGTGATGAAAGACAACTAAAAATGGGCACTAATCAGCTATTTAAAACAAAAAAAAACTTTCAGTCTATTCAAATCAGTTTTTGAAATACAGCTTATTGGAAACATTAAATTTAAGTTATTAACTTGAAATTACAACTAAAATAATGGCTTCAAATAAGATTTTTTATTTTTGAAAATTTATCAAACACAGGTATCACATTTTATGTGGAGCTTGCTAATTTTATATTGATGTATAATTGATATTAAATGTTTAGGAAGAAAAAAAAAAAAAAAGCAAACCAGTCACCAAGAAAAAGATGGAGAATAAAAGAAACTAATGAGACAGGATCCACATTCTATTATCCTTTCTTCTATATGTTTTCTACTTTCATGGCTCTCCACAACTTCCTATCCTTTGGAGCTCTTAACAATGGTTTATTTTTTTTACTATTCCTTCTCAGTCTCTGTTTCATCATTCATTTAAATGTGCTTGTTAAGGTGATTATTTACTACTTACCTCTAACCCCTTATTTCATCCTGGGTATGACAAACTACATCCACATCCTGGATAAGATGATAAATTACATCCACCAGCAAGGCCTCTGATTAGGACGTTTTAAGGAGTGTGGAACCACCTCTTAATTGCTGGTGTTCCCAGGTTTACCCTGAAATGAAAATGTAAAAAATAGGTTTAAATACCAGTAAATTTTTGTAAAAATTACCAGCAATGAAATTTTGAAGAAAATAATTATTACTAGCAATATATTATTACCAGTAAAAATATTACCAGTAATACATTTGAAGAAAAAAATATTAGCAGCAATAAAAATTTTGTAGGCATTAAATAACCCATTGAGGTTAATATGCCATAAAACAAACCAAACCAAACCCTCTTATCTTCAGAATATCCTGAAAGTTTCAGGTTATTCAAACCCGCTTTTCTCATTATGTGTTCCAGAAATTTCAACTTTCTTTTTCTGATTCTGACTCTGAGTGTCGTTTGTGTTTCCTTAAAACTTTTTCATTATTCAAGTATTCTTGGTATTGTATTATGACTTATGAAATATTATGGTTTAATAATAAACAACTGCAAAAATGTCTAAGGCCGGTATGATGTAAAAGAGTCTGACATTTATCCCGCTAAGAATTTTGAATAATGTGAACAAGCATAACGTTGTACATATTTTATCTTTTTATGGGATCACTTTTTACATGCTGAAAGAGGGTTTCTATGAAGGAAACCTGGAAGCTAGGTGCTAGGGATAAGAAATTCTTTTCATAATCAACTTTCTTAAACTTTTGAGTGACACCTCATGTATATATTTCTGTTCATATCTATCTAAACATCAATTAACCATATTATCTATCTAATCTATCCTTATCTAGTCTATCCTTATCTAGTCTATCCTTATCTAGTCTATCCTTATCTAGTCTATCCTTATCTAGTCTATCCTTATCTAGTCTATCCTTATCTAGTCTATCCTTATCTAGTCTATCCTTATCTAGTCTATCCTTATCTAGTCTATCCTTATCTAGTCTATCCTTATCTAGTCTCCTTATCTAGTCTATCCTTATCTAGTCTATCTAGTTATCCTTATCTAGTCTATCCTTATCTAGTCTATCCTTATCTAGTCTATCCTTATCTAGTCTATCCTTATCTAGTCTATCCTTATCTAGTCTATCCTTATCTAGTCTATCCTTATCTAGTCTATCCTTATCTAGTCTATCCTTATCTATCCTTATCTAGTCTATCCTTATCTAGTCTATCCTTATCTAGTCTATCCTTATCTAGTCTTATCTAGTCTATCCTTATCCTCTATCTATCTAGTCTATCCTTATCTAGTCTCATCCTTAGTCCTAGTCTATCCTTATCTAGTCTATCCTTATCTAGTCTATCCTTATCTAGTCTATCCTTATCTAGTCTATCCTTATCTAGTCTATCCTTATCTAGTCTCTATCCTTATCTAGTCTATCCTTATCTAGTCTATCCTTATCTAGTCTATCCTTATCTAGTCTATCCTTATCTAGTCTATCCTTATCTAGTCTATCCTTATCTAGTCTATCCTTCTCTAGTCTATCCTTATCTAGTCTATCCTTATCTAGTCTATCCTTATCTAGTCTATCCTTATCTAGTCTATCCTTATCTAGTCTATCCTTATCTAGTCTATCCTTATCTAGTCTATCCTTATCTAGTCTATCCTTATCTAGTCTATCTAGTCTATCCTTATCTAGTCTATCCTTATCTAGTCTATCCTTATCTAGTCTATCCTTATCTAGTCTATCCTTATCTAGTCTATCCTTATCTAGTCTATCCTTATCTAGTCTATCCTTATCTAGTCTATCCTTATCTAGTCTATCCTTATCTAGTTCTATCCTTATCTAGTCTATCCTTATCTAGTCTATCCTATCTAGTCTATCCTTATCTAGTCTATCCTTATCTAGTCTATCCTTATCTAGTTATCCTATCTAGTCTATCCTTATCTAGTCTATCCTTATCTAGTCTATCCTTATCTAGTCTATCCTTATCTAGTCTATCCTATCTAGTCTATCCTTATCTAGTCTATCCTTATCTAGTCTATCCTTATCTAGTCTATCCTTATCTAGTCTATCTAGTCTTATCTAGTCTATCCTTATCTAGTCTATCCTTATCTAGTCTATCCTTATCTATCTATCCTTATCTAGTCTATCCTTATCTAGTCTATCCTATCTAGTCTATCCTTATCTAGTCTATCCTTATCTAGTCTATCCTTATCTAGTCTATCCTTATCTAGTCTATCCTTATCTAGTCTATCCTTCTATCTAGTCTATCCTTATCTAGTCTATCCTCTAGTCCCTTATCTAGTCTATCCTATCTAGTCTATCCTTATCTAGTCTATCTCCTTATCCTCTATCCTTATCTAGTCTATCCTTATCTAGTCTATCCTTAGATAGATAGAATTAATAAAAGTAAAAAGTTTGTCATTTAGCTGATTAATATTAACTTCAGCATTCTGGCTCCAGAATTTTGTAGACGGACCCTCCAGGAATCACTCCATCCATTCATCAGAGTATGTTCATATCAATCTGAACATCCAAGTTGATTTCCCAGCAATTAGCCAGTCTAGTTGCAGGTATCCTTTGGTCTGTTTATTTAGCAAAACTCAGAATAGCAAAAAAGTTAAACATTAAAGAAAAATAACATTTAAAGATAGCTCACAATGAACATTCTACATTGTTGACGTGTCAATAGAATGACCCACTGTGTTAAGGTGCCTATGTGAAATCATTTCATTGCAAATGTTCACTGCTAGACCTTTTCAGCAAGACAATGCCAATGTTCTCAAAGTCAAGGCATGCTGTGTGTTTTTTTTTTTTTTTAGTTTTTTTTTTCAACTCAGACAATGTAAACCAGTGCAATGTGTTTCACTCTTAAACAATACAAGTTCCTTTTGTATGGTTCTTCAATAGTTTCTATAAAACAATAAAAGAGGCTGAATGCAAGCTGATTATTAAAAGTAATGCTGAATAATTCAGGAAGATTTTTTAAATTGTCCACGATCTTAGGAGAAACAGTAGCATTGCTGAGCTTGTTGCTTCCTTCACTTGAATAGAATACACACAGATGGAGAAAAAAATGTTCAGAAATCTCTTTTAATAAAAAGGTCGGAAACTGGCAGCATTTTAACAACTGGATGTGCATTGGGGTGTAATGGATAATGGCTTGAAATGAGAAATCTTAGAAAAATCCTGGGTAAGATGATAAACTACATCTGGCAGCAAGGCCTCTGATCGGCAGATTGGAAATTTTGAGAAGCATTGAATCACCTCTTAATTGCTGTTGTTGCCGGGTCCATCATGTGTTAAACAGCTTAGTACATACCACCTTTTGTATCAGATCACCCATTTTTAGGTGAGGAAATATAAAAGAACAGATAGTCTTAAAGTAGATAATATTTAATATTTGGTTGCATAACCCTTGCTCGCAATAATTGCATTAAGCCTGCGACCCATTGACATCATCAAATAGGTCATATATTATCAAACTAAGGATGTGTACATGGTATAGGGATTATTGATATGGAAAGTCCTGGATATGTCAATAAACTACACCAGGCAGCAAGGCCTCTGATCGGGAGTTTGGAGGTTTTGAGGAGCATGGAACCATCTCTTAATTGTCCTCCCTGACCTGGGGTGGTAGCACCTGTTAGGGTCCTAGCTTTGGGCAAATCGTGAAAATGACCAACAGTACATTTTCTTTTCGTAAAATGACCAACAGTACATTTTCTTTTAGTAAAATGACCAACAGTACATTTTCTTTTAGTAAAATGACCAACAGTACATTTTCTTTTAGTAAAATGACCAACAGTACATTTTCTTTTAGTAAAATGACCAACAGTACATTTTCTTTTAGTAAAATGACCAACAGTACATTTTCTTTTAGTAAAATGACCAACAATACATTTTATCTGTAGCTGAAGGCATACAATTGTGTTCAAATTATTTAGATCTCAGCATTTTAGCACACTGTACGTAGGTGACTTTATTTGTCAAACTAAATGTTTGTACAGCCACCGCATGCAACTCTGATCATCGGATAATAGTGTGGTTGAATTTTGCGCTAGTGCTGTCATATTCTACTATGGTAACAGGAAATTGGCTAACTAAAAATCAAAGCTGATGCTATTGCAGTTGTGTGGCCACTTATACCCAGTGGATGAGGATGAAATACTTATAAATATTGCAGAGTGCTAAAGGTTGAATAACCCAGTTGATATGCTAAGCAAACAAACAAAAAATCTGAGAGCTGACTATGAATTCCAGTCAAGTGCATTACATTCACTTATGTGCAAATACTCTTGGGAAAGTTATGAATCCATCTCTTCTCCCCCAACTATGGGTTGAATAGCAGGACAGACTCAGTCTGATATCCTTGGTTGGCAACTAGTCTATCACAGAAAGAAACAGCAACCTATTGCAGGAAAATCTTCTGCCTAGTCAGTCATGAATCAAAAGAGGTATGATTGTTTGTGTATCATGTATAGCACTTAACTGACTAAGTATTCAACTATGCCAAAGTTCCAGATGGCATTTGACTACCCAAATTATTTCTGTCCACTTTTTTGGTATAAAGAAAAAGATAATTTCAAGTTGTAATTTTTTTATTTCTATAGTGACAGGTTATGAAATTTGTTTAACATTCTTGCTTCTTCAAAATTTATTATAGTTTTACTATTTGGTTTAGTACTATTTTAGTAAACTATAACAATCAAAATAGTAACTAGATCACCCATTTGTTGGTTTTAGGATTTGAACTCTCCTTTATAATAAAACTCACCCAATTCAAGTCTAGTAACTGAATATACAGTTATTTAATGTTCTTGTTTCTACAAATTTTTTTAAAAATTTTTTATTTATTTCACCCCAGCCAAGGAGGAAATGCCACTATGACGCAGAGGCTTCCAAGGAATGAAAGTGAGAGAAAAGACTGAGTATAGGGAGGATTGAGGAAAGGACAAAAGATGAACAGGATTCAATAAGATAGAAGATGGTGATTGACATTGCATTTAAATTTATGAAGATTGTAGTTATCAGGGAAGCAAGTAAATGGAAGGAAGTTATATAGGCAGCAAGTATGAGAAAAGTAATTGCTGGAGTAGAAGTGGTGGTTACATTTAGCTATTTAAACGGTAAACAGGCGGGACCTAGATGCCAATATAGTTTTGATATTCGGTTTAGTACTATTTTAGTAAACTATAGCAATCAAAATAGTTACTAAAAATAACCCACTTGTAGGTTTTAGGATTTGATTTGGTTTACTTTATTTTGATTTACGGTATGTCAACACCTCAATGGGTAATTTAATGCAGATAAGATTTTTGGGATAGGTTCATATGAATAGAAGATGTATTCTTTGTAGGAAATCAGTTTGTAGATCAGGTTTCATTGATGTATTTTTGTGAAGAGGGTATTTGCTGAGAGCCAACTGTATTGCTGATAACATTGTTTTGTTTTTTTTTTTATTTCAAAAATGTATTGCTGGTATTTTTACTATAAAAATCTATTTTTATACTTTCATAGTGTTTTGACCCCAGTTTTTTTAACAATTTATCCACAACTGGGACACTAACAGATGCTACCACCCCGGGTCATTTTAGGATTTGAACTTTTCTTTATAATAAAACTCATCCAATTCAAGGCTCGAGAGCCACTCAAGTTAGTAGGTTATTGTTAAAATGGTAATGATGAATGAGATGTATGATATCATTGAAAGAAGAGATAGTAGCAATGGAAGATTATGAAGATAAGGAGGATAGATAATGATTGACCTTGTAGTGCTTAGGGCAGCATCCACATGTGTGTTTTACTCTCCAAAGTGGCAGTTCTTGAGAAAAAGCTTCACTCTCACGAGTGGAGTTTCTTCTTACATTTGGAGCACGGATGAAATTAGTCCACTTTGACTCTGAGGAAGTGGTATGGCATTTCCTAGATGTAATGGTCTGATCTGGTGGTGCTAAAAAATGAAGCTCATCTGAGCATTTGCCATAGAACTGTCTTTCTCAACCATTTTAAGCAACAGCACACCTAGAAGCAAATGAAAATTGCACACTTAGCAAAACTTTTAAAGGGTATACATTTAAATGTCATTAAATAAAACTATAGATTTAAAAAAAATACACACAAATATGAACTTACTTTATTTCAATGTTTCTATTCAACTATTTGTGCAGCTTATTCAGTGTGAAACCTGTGGCTGGGTTTTTTTTTTTTTTTTTTTTGGGTGGGGGATTCCTTCAATGTTTGGTTGAATGTGTGATAAGACCCTCATTTCTTTTTCACTTGAATGTTGTTTTTCTCACTTCTTATTTTTATGTTGTTTAGGGTTGAGAAGCCTAATTCACAAATAAAAAGTAGAAAATTTCAATAAAACTGATAAAGCCCTTTTATCTAATCTGGGGTATTCCTTTTGTATTGAAATTCAAAATGTATTAATGGGTACCCTTGAATGTTTTATTTTGAGCCCTTAAAAAACATAAAAATACTTTTTAAAAAATGAATATTAAAACAAAGTATTTAAAATAACATGATCAAAGGATAGTGAAAATTATTTGAATACTTATTCATTTATTCAAATACTAATGCTGTACTGTTACTACTTCTACATACATATACACGTACACGCACATATTTTACAGCACACTTAAGAGGATCATGCAGCGCACTAGTGTACCATAGCACAGTGGTTGAGAATCACTGCCATAGAAATACAGTGTAACCCGGATATAAGAGAAACCTGGATATAAGAGATTTTTTCTGGTCCCAAATTAGAGCCTGTGTTAATGTATATATAATAGACCAATCCTGGATATAAGAGAAACCCGGATGTAAGAGACTTCTTCTCTGGT